AACTGCAAAAAGGACTATTTATGATTTGGCAGGAGGTGGGTTACCATTCATATTGGTTTCGTGAACCTGCTAAAGGCTTGCTTTGATATTTTCTGTTCATGTCTATACTTGTTTGTTCATCTTAGGATATGTTCAAGTCTGGGTTCTTTTTCATAGAGGGAGTGTTTTACAATGACAAACGTGATCCACTTTCAAAGGATTACAGCAAGTTAGTATATTTAGTTTAGCTTTTCATACAATTTAATTAGATAGATTACAAGATACCACTACTAGATAACCAGCTGCAGTTATGGAGTAAAGTCTTTACAGAATTGAAAATAACATCTGTCAATCTCGCTAGCCTGAAAAATAGGTGCATATCTTTTACCACATCAGTTTGACAGGAGCAGTAATGGACTTAATTAGTTACAAAATACCTCGTCATTTGATTGGTCTAGAAAACTCGCGCTTCCTTCTCAACCAATGAGATTCAATACTAAAACCAGTTGCGCTTGGTCATTCGCATTTTCGCGCGTTTTCCCGCGTTTCCGGAAGTTTTCTTGTTTTTACTTTGAGTTCTCATTGGCTTATCCTCTTACAATAACGATACAAATTACAGGGTGATCATGGAGTGGGCTAAAGACCCCCAAAGAAGAAAGTGCCCTGGGCTGGGCTTATTTACCAGTAAGCGAATGGAGGATGTGATATTTGAAGACCTGAAAGTCAAGTTAGGATACCCATATTTTTATTGCCATCAAGGGAACTGCGAACATATTATCATGTTTACTGATCTTAGGTAAGATTACTCAAGGGAACGCTGCAGTTGTTTTCAAGTAACAGATTTGTATCCATACTTTTCTGTTTGATCCTCTTCGCATGTTATTTCCTTACACTGAAGAGTACCTTTGATCTGTTACCGTTCTATCGTTACGTCAGTTTGTGTGTCTTTCGGGAACGTATGCCACAGCCAGTGTTATATTCTAGTGATATTTTGACGAGCTGGCATTCACGAAGTTCTAGCAAGCTTTCGAAAATACCCCACCTTGTCGTCTTGGTTGTCTTTTCGTGGACTATCCGTTTTTTTGTTTCTCCTTTTCGATAAGAAGGGTTGGGTGGAGGGGGGAGGGGAGGGAAATGACGGTTCGGCAACAGATGTTAATGGCTGACAGATAGACAAACAAAGAGACGGACAGGCAACATTCGACATTGAGACGAACAAGTAGCTATACAACTACTAAAAAAAATGATCGATCTTTGGCGTTTCTTTCATATTTTTAGATTGATGAATGTAGACGATAACCCAAACCTGAATGAATACCCACTGCAAGTATTCAAACATAGAGGGAAACGAATAAGGTGTCGCGTGTGTGACGTTTACACTGCAAAGTAAGAGTTCAAGTAATTAGTTGCAGCCATAGTATTTAACCTTTCGGCGCTTTTCCCGATATAACGGCCCCTGTAACATTTAGCGACAGAAGGGTTTAAGCTCTCCCCCCTGGGTGAGATGCTGGACCATAGAGAAAAATCAGCTACGAACCGTAATCAAATTCCTTTTTGTGGATGAAACTTGTTTATTTCGTTATCTGCTTTGATTTATAACATTAGGAGCTCTAGTCAATAGGGGGATTGTACAAACAGTTTGTGATCACTTATTTTTTTCGGTTATAAATGGTGATCTTCTAAAGGAGAACTCTGATGAAACCGCCCTATAATTTGAAAACCCGAAAAATTCAGTTATTAG